AGTTATTTTGTGCTTTTTAATGCAGCAAAATACGACTCAAATATGAAAAAAACCTAAAGCTCATGCAACATCGACAAACCTACTGCAATCGAAATACGGAATGACCGCCTCTTGTAAGGCCGTTTAAGGTTGTTGAAACGAAACGGCGGACAGCTTTGAAAGGCTCTGACGTTCTTCCTATGCCTAGGCACAAATAACAAAGCTATAAACACATCGAGCGAATTTGAAGCAGAGAAGCGAATGTGTGTGTGTGAGTGAGCACATACGGAGGCGAATTTATAGTCGAAAAGAATAAGGCGAAGCTAGGCAAAGCAAAGGCTGACAGTAGGATTCGAGTACATATATGCATGGGGAAGAGAATGATTTATTGAGTGATATTTAAGCTATCAGCACTTTAGCTAGAAAGAGATATGTGCGTAAGCTATTATGTGATTAAGCGTACACGTTTATATGGATAAGACAGTGATCATAATAGTACAAAGTAAATGACAAGCTGATAGTGCTCGAATAACATTGTCCGTTAATCAAGTTAATAAAACGGCTTAACCAAAATCAACCACAATCCAAATTGAGTATAGGATAGTTGTGCTATAGTACTTTATGTTACATAAAGTGTTATTTATTTCATCAATACGATATGAGTTTCTCAATGTTTAGTTGATTTCAAATAGTCACAATGAATAGTTACCATAATACAAAATTATATGATTGGTAAAATGAAAGTTCACTAGGTTATCATGTACTGCCGACTTCATAATTAGTTTTATTTTCAAAACAACTTACCTTTGAGTAATTACTATACTAAACATTGATATTATCTCTTACTATTGTAGGCAGATGTATTTTTAAAGAACACAAAACAATTAAATTGAAAACAACTGTAAACGATTTGTTTCATTTTGACTCTGTTATATTTCTTTTTTCTTCTTTTTTCGTGTATCAAAATGTAATATATGCCCAGAAACAAAAGTAACGAAATCTAGGATGGAATATTTTCATATTGAACATATTCTAGAACGTTCGCAATAATTTCCTCCGAAGATCGCTGAGATACAAGTCGAATCACAAAATATTCTATGGGCTATTAGTAAATAATGTTTTGATTAAGGTAAGTTGTCCAAACAATGAAGACCTTTTGATAGTGGTTATCTATATGGTCTAAAATTCCTGATTACTTTGGATAGATCTTAATTCATTAACGACTGAGCAACCTAAAAAAAATTCATATCCTCCAATCGCTTATAACATTTGATCATGTTTCTTTTCGTATCTGATATTTTATTTTAGTTAAGTGATTTATTATTATTTTCACACCAGGTGAGTAGTCATTAATGGACACATTATCTATCGATAGAATCCTACTCACTTGTTCGTCCATTCATTTACAAATCGAATCTTTAGAACTTCTTCACCATGACAATTCTTGGAATTGAAGTCATGCACAAGCCACATGTTATTGTTATGACATTTCCTATATTCTATAATTCAGTACACTATGAATTCATAGTAGATGGTGAGTATGGATATAAACTATTCAACATATCAGCATCTTTGCATATTCTGATATTTATTGTTTTTCAATCTGTTTGTATTCCATAAACTTTATTCAAATGATAACCAAGTCAATTGCAATTAATGTTTTTTCTTAAATACAAATTTCCTACTTTTTATTGTTAATTAAAAGTTTTATTGCTGGATATCTTAATCCTGGTACTGTCGACAGATATGTAACATCAAAAAGAAGTGAAAAACCTGACAGCAGAAGGCTAAGAAGATTGAGTTGAATAGAATTGAAAAGGAAACAGAAAGGAATTATGAACTGGAAGAATCATAAAGAATGCGAAGGACAAATGATGGAAATTTGAAAATGAAATATTTAGTGTATGGCTCTTATATTTTACCAAGATATTATGTAATGTTGTATGCGGCAATAGATTGGTTGACTACACTTGGGTTCTCGTTGATTAAGGTACATAACACATGACTTTCATTCTATTGTTAAAATCTAATATACTTGTAAAGTCGATTATTCTGTTTTACTATCCAGTGAATTTCAAAACCAAATCAATAACACAGTTAACTAAGATGCATTTTCTTAAGGAATATGTTAGTGATAAAACTGATTTCAAATCTAACATTAGTTCAATGTGATCACAGTGTTCTACACTGTACATACTACTGTCTAGCTTACGCTAAACTACAAAAAAAATAGGTGTTTCTTTCTATACCGAACATCTGGTGACGAAGTAAAATTAACAAAAACGGCGTCACGATCATGGAGAGATAAACTATCAAGTGCAGAGTTTCCATCTAAAATGTCCAAACTTCAAAGAATAAGTTCCTAATTGCTTCTCTATGCATCAAAACCAGATCGGGAATAAAGTGCTTTCGGGTTTTCAGTAGTAGTCTAACTTAGATCGACTCATGAATTCAACTTTTAAAATTACTACAATCTCCACACATCTCCATTCTGATAATGGATAAAGATGTTTGAACCTGTGAAATAATGTTTGATAGTCAAACTATTTAGTCACTAAATCACTATTTCATTGATTGATTTCAATGTTCGAACCCAACCAGTCATTTCTGAAATATGTTAACTTGTATGAAAATATACGATAATTGATACAAAATCACAATGTGATTATATTTGACAATAATTATAGAATTCAAATCAATAGTATAATTATAACCTGGTCAACTGATTTGACTTTAGGAAAATAAATCGTAAATTTAATTTAGTTCTTAATGATTACTCAATTCATAACAAACTTTTATAGTAAAACCTACTAGTCTACTAATGACAATCAGTCTAGTTTGTTTATCAAAATATCAGCTTACTGCTATATCATGAAAATATAATATGTAAATGTAATTACATAATATATTATTCGATTGATTTAACGAATAGCATCATTGAATTTATTTTTCCTCGTTAGCGTTTTTTTAGCGAGTTAAAAGTTCCCTCTTTCTTCTAGTGGTCGACTGGATTATGAAGATTTCGACATCTGAGGTAGAACACGGAATACAATGAACGGCTCAGAACCAATTAGACGATTTGGACTTCGCAGATGACCTAGCCCTCCTGTCCAATACATACGAACAAGTGCAGATAAAGACAAGTCGTGTAGCAGCAGCCTCTGCATCAGTAGGCCTCAACATACACAATAAGAAAACCAAGGTCCTCCAATACAACACGGAGAACAGCAATGCAATCACACTTGATGGCGAAACTCTGGAAGCTGTGGAATCCTTCATGTACTTGGGGAACATCATCAATGAACAAGGAGGATCAGATGTAGACCTAAAGGCTAGCATTGGCATAGCAAAGATAGTATTCCTACAGCTGATGAATACATGGAACTCAAAACAACTTTCAACCAATATCAAAGTCAGAATCTCTAATACGAACGTCAAGACAGTTCTACTATACGGAACTGAAACTTGGAGAACTGCTGCAACCATCATCAAGAATTTACAGATATTTATAAATAGTTGTCTACGCAAGATGCTCAACATCCATTAGCTGGATACCATCAGCAACAGCCTTTGTGGGAAAAAACAAACCAGTCTCCAGCTGAGGAGGAAATTAGGAAAAGATGATGGAAATGGATAGGACATACATTACACAAATCATCAAACTGCATCACGAGGGAAGCCGTAACTTGGAATCTTTAAGGGAAGCGGAAAAGAGGAAGGTCAAATAACAAATTAAGACGAGAAATAGAAACAGATATGAAAAGGATGAATAACAACTGGAAAGAACTAGAAAGGATTGCCTAGGACAGGGTTTGATGGCGAGTACTGGTGGACGGCCTATGCTCCTTCACGAGGAGTAACAGGCGTAAGTAATTAAGTAGGTAACCATTGAATTTGAGTAAAAAAGAGAGAAACTACTTTTCATATTCATTATTACGTTCATATTTAATACAAATAATTAATTTCAACGGTTAAACTCACTAGTCAATCTAGTCTGAATTATCCGTGAAAAACTGGATACCCGTTTTATTCTAGTATGGGACTCCTCAGAATTGCGCATCAGAACTCCTCACACAGGACTCAAATTCATGATACACACTACTGAGAAGTCCCATACTAGGATGAAACGATCATCTAGTACTTCTAGATTTTCATTAGTGATCTAGCTTAGGTTGACTTGTGAATATAACTGTTAATTTATTATTTATTTGAACGCATAAATATTGATACAAAAGGGCACCAAATATATATGCGCCACACAGAGTTTTCAGCAAATACCATCATTTTCATTATCATTATTATGTTTGTGTGTGGGCTGTGATACTGCTCGGGTGCCCAAACCGAAGCAGGTGATTTTCTCAGGGGGCCACACTCGAGGCTTTCGACCTGAAGGTCTGATCCACAAGGCAGTGGAGCAACGTAAGGAGATGCAGTCCCATGGTAGCCGGTGACCAACGATTGGTTCATACGCCATTTGTTCCTTCAGAATGCTGGAGCCCATGTGCACCATTGGTTTGGAATCAGGGTTTTCCAACTCCCCTAGGTGGACTCTCCATGTCCACCAACCCGATTAAAGCGCCGGACATTCGCTTTTCGTCTTCTCAATTTCGTAAATAACACCCCCGCCACGAGAAGGCAGCGAGTAGGACTTCCTTAGCAGAGGCTGTATACGCGTGGCTGTGTGAGAGCATTTCGAGAGGGAGAGCGGACTCTTCCCACTCTCGGCCGTACCAGGGCATTTGAGGATAATTAATTATTAAAAATTATATCATTTTATTATAAATTCAATCTTTCAATTCATCTAAATACAGAGATATGTATTTATAAGATTATACTGAATATATGAAAATTGAATCAAGTATGTAATAAAAGGAACTTACTACAATTTATAGAATGTAAATATTACAACAACAAAAACAAACCAAAAGCAAACAAAACAATGAAACTTAATTAAGCAAAAAAACAATGAAACCTTGTTTTTTATAAATTACTATTTCTCAATATTTTTGGTTTTTGTTGTTTTATAATGGTGTAAATTCATGTGTTATACCAACAATAGTATGTCTATGTGATTTAATAAGACGATCATTACGTGATTGATATTTGATAGTAAGTACATTTGATCGTTTATTATTACCATAGAATTTATTACCTTTAAATAATGCTGTTATTTCTTCTTGTTTATTTGAATTAGTACGAGATAATTTATCACGTTTCATTTGATTTAATGTTACTAACCAATTCGGTTTTTTCTCTTCTAAACTTAATGAACGTTTAATTCGTTTTATATTATTATTATTATTATTAGTTAATACATTTTTCAATATTTCATCAGCTCCGGTTACACTTGAAGAACGTTGTTTTTCTATATTTCTTGAAATTCTTCTTGTTAATTGATTATTTATAATTGATGGTTTACAATTTGATTCAAATACATCATCTTCATTATGATTAGATTCTAATTTATTATCAATATTCATATTTTTACATGTTAATGCAGCTAATAATGTATCTTCATCAGATGGTACACCTAATGAACGTAATCTTAACCAAAATGGTTGATTTAAATGATCATTATCATGAATATTATCTTGTGAATTCAAATCATAATATGAATGTACATGATCATTAATTGTTATAGAATGTTGTTGTTGTGGTGATGCTTGTTGCTGTGGTGGTGGTGGTTGTTGTTTAAATTTTTTAACATCTAATATGATATTATCATTTTTTAATAATTTACATGGTAATTCATCAAATGATAAATTAAAATTTGTTTCAGAAAATCTTCTAGTAAATTGTAAACGTTGTATATCAAGTTGTTTACAGATTTTATTTTGTTCTTTCATTAAACGATTATAATTTAATTGAAATTTACGATCTTCAATTTCTTGTAAGATTTTTAATCGTTTAATTTTATGTTGATTAGATGTATATGATGATGATGGTGTTGTTGTTGAGGATGATGATAATGGGATTATTGAATGTTTATCTGAATTATTTGTAGTATCCATTGTATTCATTTAATTGATTGTTTTATTATCATTTTATATAATGAAATCAAATGATTAAATATGAAAGAAATATTTAATGATTTTATATATATATATTTCTAATATTCTAATTGGTTTGGAGATAAGTATTCGTGCCTGGACTGTGAACTTTGCATATAAATAGAGAGGTTTCCATAATTACATGTACACAACAACATATGTTTATTGATTTGTGTCCTAAATGAAACTTGACAAAGTTAGTTACGATATAGAGACTATAAATTGTCTGAAGAATATAATTCTATTCTTAAAAAAAAATAAGAATAACGGTAGGGTGGAGAATAACTTATTTGTATATACATTGTAGAAAAGTAAAGAAATGCTAATTCGATCATTGTATATGTTTGTTTTTTGTTTTTCTTCACATTTTCTTTGGAAAACATATGCAGAATATAATAAAAGGCATTATAAACTCGGTCAACATTGTCTAAGTACTTTGAATCATGTGTATGACGTTTTGCACAAGAAGAAAACAATAATAATAGTGTTATATTACAAATAAAAATATTGAAATTTAGTTGACTAATCAAATGAATAGTAAATTGTTCTTTAAAAAGATCCAAATATATATGAAAACGCTTGATATTATTTACTTGAATCTTCTTGTTGATATTCAGGACTGCAATTGATCAATCACTTATTGGCATATATGCATACAATGCGGATTGTCGTCTCTATATTACCTTGATTCACAAGCATTATAAGCAAAGATGGATAATGGCTAGCAATAGAATTCAGGACACGCGTTTTCTTCCTATTTGAGACTGGTCAGCTCAATATATCGGCATCTTACAATTGATGTTCACTCAGGACTCAGTAGCTAAGCATTTTTCATGTACGCTGGGAACAACGAGGGAAGAATGATGAGGTTAGCCATAGCGTAATAGGAAAGGACTGAGAATCGTTTGATGAGAACCTTAATCAAGTGAATTAGTTGAAATACGCATAACCTATGCCCAAATACTGAATACCTTCCGGCGATGTTATCTGGTGTATGGTTGGAGTGGAAGAAAGCTAGGGATGGTTGAATCATAACATAAGATCAGTCCATCAAGTAATTGACTGCCTGACTAGTGTATTTAGGGATATGCAGACTACTCGGCTGAAGTGCGCTCAATTACCGTAACCACTAGTTGAAGACTTTGAGTGACAAGGCTCAGAATCGATCGCAATGAGGTAGAGGTATTCACTTATTGTCTTCCTCTAGATCCAGAGTTTGAAAATGTTCTTATAGTTCTTTTTCTTTCCATGCCTAGTGTTTTCTACCACTACTGACATTATTCTACTCCTACTACCCTGGGATTTATCTTAATATTTTCGTCTTACTGAGTTAATATGTTGCGGTAATCTGAAAAGATGCATATACGTGCCAGGTCCTGTATTCCACATAGTTGACTGGCTGAATGCGAATATTAGGTATGCAATTTGCCCTTCATACGAAATACTATACTTCCTTGGGAGATTATCTCTGAAGTACATGTAGTGTTCAAAAGTATATCATACATAATGGGAGGCAAAAATCGACTCGTACGTCACCGTAGTGCTCTTCGGTTAGTGGGGGACATTTTTCCAATGAGCTAATGCAAGCGTCAAGGTGGAGATTGGGCTAATCACCCACTCTGTATCATATATGGGTTGAAGGAAAAGAAGTTTTGTTGAGATAAATGTGATATTACAAGAAAAAGTGAAATTCCCTCCTGTTCTGTGTCAAGATTATCTCTGAATAGAACCAATAGGTCTCGTTGGGGTGGCGGAGAGCGTGGACCGCAAACTGTGCCATAACCAGTGCGCAGGGGTTGACATCAAACTTGTTTGTGTGATGAGAATGAAGGGGGGATATCGTATGTGACGACTTATTTTCGAATTGATTTGATTACCTGTTATTCATTTAGTGTTGGAGGCAGCTGGGCTACAGCCTGGAGTGATCGCATTCATGGGTCTCGGCCTGTACACCCTATATGCATGTGACGTATACTTGTGAGCGGAAGCTTCTATACCAATATGTACTTATGGAGAGTATAGACGTGTCTAAGCATTCTGTGACTACATGTGACGCATACTGGCGATCACGGCCATTTATGCCTGTGTATATCACTGGAATGTACATATATCTGATATGTGCATTTCATATATACATAAACAATATACTTAGGAGAGAGTTCCACATTCTATAACGGCGCATTCATTAATAGCTCATCAGCGCTTTTGGTTTGCATAAAAGTTTCTGCATATGGTACGGAAGTGAAAATATCCTAGAGCTAGACTGTATTGTTTGTCTATTCTGCCCGTGATAGACCGTAGTGAATCCATCTGCCGCACATGAATATAAGTAGACCGCAACGAATGTCTGCTTGTATGCATAAAACAGACTACTGTGTCCATCTGCTTCATCAGTATAGTCAAATCGAAATATCCCTTTCCGTTCATTAGTTCTTTTCTTTAAATTTTTACATTTCTTTATATAAGTTCTTTTTTCACGGCGACAAGTCAATCTGGTTTCCTCGTTGTTGGAGTGAACTGTAAAGGACAAATGATACATTTCCATTTATAAGTTTAATTTGAACTTATTTGTATTCTTAGTGGAAAAAACTTTATTTATGACTTCTAGTTAAGTTTAGTCTGAATTGTTCATAGCAATTGTATTCAAATTCAGAGTTTATTTATTTGAACACATAGATATTGGTACAAGTAGGCACCAAATACATATGCGCCACACAAATCTCATTTGATATGTGTGAGGGCTGTGATACTGCTCGGGTGCCCAAACCGAAGCAGGTGATTTTCTCAGGGGGCCACACTCGGGGTTTTCGACCTGAAGGTATGATCCACAAGGTAGTGGAGCAACGTAAGGAGATGCAGTCCCATGGTAGCCGGTGACCAACGATTGGTTCATACGCCATTTGTTCCTTCAGAATGCTGGAGCCCATGTGCACCATTGGTTTGGAATCAGGGTTTTCCAACTCCCCTAGGTGGACTCTCCATGTCCACCAACCCGATTAAAGCGCCGGACATTCGCTTTTCGTCTTCTCAATTTCGTAAATAACACCCCCGCCACGAGAAGGCGGTGAGTAGGACTTCCTTAGCAGAGGCTGTATACGCGTGGCTATGTGAGAGCATTTCGAGAGGGAGAGCGGACTCTCGGCTGTACCAGGGCATTTGGGGGCAAAGATTAATCGTTAAAAGCAAATTTAAGTTTATCCATGAAACTGAATTGAGAAAATATTTTTTTCAGTTTTTAAATAATTTATTAAAATTAACATTAATAAAGTTTAGTTATTAGAATTAACAATTTATTTTATGAAACCTTTGAAGACATAAGTGTTGTGGCGACTTGAAAGAATTTCTATTATTTATTGAATTAAGCGAGAAATATGTATCACTCAACCTAGACATTACCATAAATGGAGAAGTGTTATCTAGGTCACATACAGTAGTAGACTTAGGACTTAGATATTTCCAAGACTTGTCGTTTACAGAACATATATTAAAACAGACCTCTAAGTCTCAACGTCTAATAGGTTACGTAACTCGAAATATTTACAACACTGAGTCACGTATTCTAATGTACAAAGTTTGTGCTCGACCTCTTCTAGAATATTGCACGTTTATTCTTAGCAGTACACGCATAAAGGATAAATTAAGGCTGGAATCAGTACACAGACGATTTACACTTCGTATTCTTGGAGCTGATTGTACCTTAACCAATAATTCTAGATGTAATAAACTTGGGCTAGAACCTTTATGGAAAAGGAGACTCAAACTAAATCTTATTCTTTTCTTCAAACTACTTCATAAACTATCGTTTACATCCGATCACGCGATTCAATATGCAGAAACCTCTCATTATGACATCCGTAATTCCTTGGCACTAGTGAAACAAACTCATTCTAAATCATCTCTTGATATGAATTACTTCACCTGTAAATTTTCTAGACTCTGGAATAACCTACCACAATCTATCCGCACGATAAAATCACTCCCATTATTTGTTCGCTGCATGGATGCATACTGCTCTTCTGAAAGTGCATTGAATGGTCTAGCACCTTTAAGTGTATCTCATTCCACAAGTAATATTATAGGAACTTTAAATGTTTAGCCATCTTTATTAGTGAATTCCCTTAGTAAAACCACCACTTGCTGTCACTTATGTTAACACCGCCCCTAGCAAGTTTAACTAATTTGAATAACATAAACAGTATATCACTCTGTCACATGACACACGCATTTAGGTAGACCTGATTGATATATTTTGGTAATTACTTTTTTGTTGTTCCGTGCTCTCTGTTTTCGTTTTAATTTCTCTGGTTGTAGATAATTATCATTATTTCGATCTGGCACACGAATTGACGTTAATTACACCGTTCATTAATCAACAGGCTGTTCATTTAAGAAATACTAAAAATTCCCGGCTGATGCTTTGGATCGCTGTAATATATGTACTACTTAAACAACTACTGAACTAGTATACTTAAAACTTTCTTTTATCACATGTTTGTTCTGCACGTCTAACGTTATTATTTATATCAAATTGATCATGCCTGTAAACTGGCGTGAATTCTGTAATTATTATTTTTCAGGATATAAAATTATTATTATTCCTTAGAATGTGCTTACCCATTCGTTTACAATTTTTCAATGGTAAATGCATGGTTTCCTGTTTGGTATAAATGTACTGACGACACTTATTTAAAATAGCTTATTGAGATTGTTTAAACGAGATTTTGTTTGAATAAACTAACTTCTAAACTGAATCTTAATATCTATTTCGTTGTTAGTTTCATAAACCATAATAATCTTTATTTATGTTGTCAGTTGAGTGAAATTTAAGGTCAAACCACTAAATAACTTGAATCCAACTACAAACAACTTAAGTATTGGTTTTAATGCTATGCTCATCCATCAATTAAGAGTCCTAATGTTGACCGGCTAAAACAACATCGAAATTAGGATGTGAATACTGCTCTCGAATT